CAGAGGTCTTAGCCGTAGAAAGACTGAGTGGAAAGGGCATGTGCGTGAGAAGCAGGACAGAATGGAGGTCGATGCAAACCTTCAGTAGACAAAATCATGTGGAATCTTTAAAATGCACAGATGAGAAAACCTGACTTTCAGTAAGACGGTCAGGTCATGTCAGAGCAGAGCAGGTTAAGGTCCGGTGCTCATCGCGAGCTATAAAGGCGCTACCACTCGCGATAGCGACGCAGATAGTGACCTAAGAGGTGGTTTTGGCATTTTTATTGACATTTGATCACAGGCACTCTATCCGAGCTCGCGGCAAAAGGCAAGTTTAATGAAATTAAACCACTCAGTTGGTCTTTTGGTCCGTTACGGATAATTTGAGACAAAAATCAACGGTACCGATCAAGGACGAGTTAGTAATAAGGTTTATATGTAAAGCACATCCTCGGTGCCGTAAATAATGACAGCATTTCAAAACCGCATACATTTTCGGTGCACTAAATACCAGACCATGGAGGGCTGCCGGAAACCCCTGCCATTTTCAATAAGCGACTGGTCCCCAAGTGTTCGATATAGAGATAAATTTCGCGTCCCCTGTGGGAATTAGCGCTGAGAGCGTATGGCAAATTTACTTTTTTAGACTTTAAAGGTCTCCAATTGTCAAATGGTAAAGTCAAATTCGCGCTCCAAAAAACGTTTTTAAGTTCCTTTGGTCAAATAGGCTCGAAAAAACGTGGCTGAAGGTACAGCGAAGTAGGCAGGACGATGACCAGGGAATTATATTGAACCACTCGTCAATTAGTACGCAAACAACGGCTTTCAATAAAACACCGATAGGCACCTACACTCTAAAATACTGTTTGTATTACATTGTATGAGATCAAGGTAATCCAAAAAAGTTGTAAATGGAGATAGTTATCTTCCGTAGGACAGACAACCTTCCGTTAAATTCCAGGGCGGCTCCTATCCCCCCGGTGCTGGAGGTGCTACCTTTATCAGGTCCGTCCGAAAAATGTCAAAAACTAAATATATCATTTACGAGGTTCGGTAGAAAATTGTAATTTTTCGAACTGCCTGAGGGAGGAATCGCTGCCCTCTTGCAATTTCCTAATAAATATGGACCTGATCTGTCAATACACTTGCATTCTGGGTTCGAAACTGCATGTCGCATATATTCCGTCTAAAGAAGATCACGCATGTCTATATGCCATTAGGAAGACGTCATGTAGCCCTCATAGAAGTTGGCAGTGGTTGTGAATCATGTTACTCACTTCATACAAAGCATTAATAAATTTACAGATACGATGGTTAATGAATGGACCTTTCATAGTTTAAAATCTCATAATTAGGACCATTTTTAAACCAAAAGATACTTTTTCTTTAAATCAAAAATTTGAAGACGCTCATTTCTACCAAATGAGTATTATAAAAATATTGTTTGAGCATGTTTTCTACAAAACATATCTAAACTTAAAAAAGGTAGCGAAAATCAATGGGAAATGTGTATAGTTTTTAAGTAGTCCGTTTTACATAGTGCAGTTTTTTTAGGGACTGGGAAGAGACTAGTTCTAAAGCCGGCACCCTGGTGTGGCGGAAATATCTTATGAATAGACTGCATGATAATTAATCTTACAAGATTACCTAAGTAATCGTTTTGAATCGAAAGCACATTTTCGAATTTATATCAATATTTTGTGAGATAGCACATCTACTGTATATGTGATCAGTAGAATTTGATTTTTCTAGTTAATCCAGCAGAAGATCTGCACCGCTGATTTCCAAACAGTCAATTGTCGTATACTCAATCCTTACGATAGTCGGAGCAGATGACTTCCGGATAGTTAGTCGGAGGTTCATTAAATTAGGCAGATCAAACCGCCTTCCAATTGGATTGGACAGGAGACTAGCCAACGAGACATAAACACAGGCATACAGAGATTGCAGGGGAAGAACATATAACAGAATTCAATACAGTCTGACATAATGATCGGCTCAAAAAAGAGCCGAACGCTCATAAGCATTGTCGCATTCCATTTGCCAAAAAAAGTAATTTTCATTCAATGCAACTATCTCGCTCGCGTGAACAAGGGTCCTTGTTTTTTTTTAATGATTGTACTCAGTCAAGACAGTTAATTCCAACTGCTCCAGCCCATAAATTTTGGCTTGGCGCTTGGTTAACCGAGACGCCGTTCTTCTTTTTTTCTATTTCATACAAACTATGGGAATGAGCAAATAACACCTAGAAAGTGTTTTTTTTAATGGGGGAGTCGAACCGCCGACTCCTCGTAATAGCTGCGGATGTTCAGCGGGTGTTTCAGTCCTAGTAGCTAGCGCGCCTGTCATTTATGCAAATAAGCAACACATCTGTTCCCTGACTCGCAAAACCAGCCAAATTCTTTGGTCCGTGCATACGTCTCGCTAACTGAAGCGCCGGGTGAGATAGAAGTTGCACTTTAAGGAAGGCTCGCGGGCGCGATGTTGGTTAGCAGGGGATATTTAGCTCCCACCCCTCTCCCTCCCTCCCCAGCTGTACAAGTAATGGGGAGAACTGACTTTGATCGCGAGGCCGTGTCAGCGGAGAAATGCATTACATCCTTCAGTGTGTGTGCGCGCATACAGTAAGGATATCGTGTAAACAAGACGGGATGACGGAAATTTGCCTTACTGCGCACTACCTGGTAATGATTAGATTCGGTGGATAGGGAGGAGCTCCCCGATGATAGTTGGTTGCGTTGCGAATCAAGCAGCTGCAGTCAGAATAGATTGTGGGACACAATGCAACGGTAGTAGTCTAACAGAAGTCTGAAAGTGGTCTGTCAAACTGGCCACTTGTGAAGTGACTACAACAATAATATGGTTTTCCAGCGATCGACAGATCTGACAAACAACAAGAAAGCATTGTTGTCATCAGTCCCCCATAGCATAACGTCAGACTACGCCGGCCTGGTGTTTGAACATAGATTTAGCTAACCATTAAGTCGCAGTTGAGACAACAGGTTCGACATCCAGCGATCAGAATTTGCAGTCATGCGAAAGAGCTGACTTGCCTTGCGGAATAAAGGCGTTCCGTCTTGCCTGGAAGTTCGTGTCTATAACTCTCCGAGGGTTTCACATCAAA